ACACACTGCATCGCATCCGCTATGATCAACTGCCGCAGGGTCCAAATAGGCATGTCGTCTATGCCGCCGGACAGCTGCATGGACAAGGCCATTTTGCAACACATTTGCGGCGCTGCTGTGCGATGATGTCGATGAAAAAACGATGTTGCTTCGCTTGGCTTCGCAAGCGGGAGGCTCAATGAGGATGCAACTCGGGGCCAGGAGCCAGTGCCAGAGACGGCTGCTTGGGACCACCTCTTCGGTGCATCAAACGCTGTCGGCTACAGTGGACTCAAAGCTGGTCCAGTTCTGAGTGATGAGTGTCTGCGTGTGCGTGACTGATTTTGAAGTGCAGAATATCCAAAGCTGAGGCGACACATTTCACCACTCCAATCGCTGCGAAGTCAGCTGCAGTGGTTATTGGCCTAGTGCACTGCTCACGTTGAAGGGAATGATGGCATGATGTATCATGTTCAGATGACAAGGATCCCAAAACCGAACTGGAGAAGCTCCTCCGCTCCAGTGAGGCCACTTGCAGAGAACACGATGTAAGCAACATTTCGCAGTGACCTTTCTCGCAAGCTCCAAGGCCAAGCCGGCGAAGCAACAGAAGGCTTTGTTCGCAGTGGATGTAAGTGCTACAGGTTGGTTTCAGTGGCTGTGCTCCAAATCGCAATATGAGTGCGAGGATGTGTCGATGCACGCAGAGGAACAGGCCGCTCGGACGCAAGACAGAGGCTTCTTTCGTCGAGGCGGCGGTTGTGTATAACAAGCCCTGTGCACCCAACGTAAAGGTGGGGTGTGAAGGTGTCGGGGGTGTACCCGGGGTGAGGGGTCTCGGGGTTGGGGGTGTATCATGCGTCTCCGGGGCGAGTGCACGCGTGTTGGGTTTGCAGATGCCGTGCTTACGACAATTGAGGGGCCGGACGGGGCCGCAGAGTCTGTCCTTGTCAGAACTTGACATGATGGACGCTCTCGAAAACTCTGACTCCCCTTAGAGAGGCGGGATTTAAAGACTCTACCAAAGAGGCCCGAGGAGCCGAAAAGTCTCCCCCTGCTAAGACTTTGGATGTTCCGAGCACTTCGCAAGGCAACCTGCGCACAAAATCCCGAAAACCCCTGACCCCCCAGCCCCATAAATTCACCGGACACCCCTAGGCCCCACCCCTCTAACCCTGAAGCCTTGTACACCGCATGGTAGGTCTTGCTGAGAAGCCTTCGCAAAACAACTAGCAGCATTTTCCGGAGTTCCAAACAATACAGGTCGTATTGCCTTGTTAGTCCAGCAGGCTGTGCTTCTGTCTGCACAGCTTGCTGGTGCCGAGATTATTTGCTCACTGGTAATTCCTGCGAGCCTACCCTGATGACGCACCCACAAAGAGTGCTTTGCAAGATTGAGTGGTTCTTTCCTAGGTTTTTGCCGGGAGCAGCCAGAATCGAAATTGGTGAAGATCATCATTTGCACATAAGCTCTGCTTGGTCAGGGATTGGAGTTTCTCAAGTCGCACTTGTAGACAGGCAGCGCGTGTTGTGCCGGAAAGGCCGACGAAGGATTACATCAGCTGACCTCTGCTTTGGAGGCGGGGGAGGCATTGGCGTTGAGACGGGGATGATTGATGCGATCGCATGTGTAGGATGCTGGGTCTCCACATGCTCTGCTAGAACGCCGTCTCGTTGTCTTGTTGAGTTGGAAGGTTTCGAGTTCTGGCGTGCTGCGGTAATCTATTTGTGCAAGGGCTTAGAGCATTAGGTTTGCATGCCAGCTTGCGCTTGGCCTCCCGAGTGCCCCGACTTTTTCCTTGCTACAACTTGTTGCCTTGATGCGCCGACAAGCACCTCTGTCAGGTCGCCAAAGCCGAAGAGGAGTTGGCCTCTGCCGGGAAGGCCGGCGAAGTTGGGATCTTGCGCGAAGGTTGTCACTGTTTACAGCGCTCGAGGAGCCAAGCACGCCGCGGAACATGAGCAGCAGGTCACATATCGCGTGGACACCATCTACGACTTGCACGGACGAGGAGCCATGCGGAAGAGTCTTCCTTGTAGATGTGTTACGGGCAGCTGGCTGCTTGTGTTCCCACGTATACATGTACAGGCACCACGAAGGAATCGGAAAATTATCTGAGGGTGTTTTTTTAGTTGGACAGAAAGAACAAGAGATAGACATAAAGAAAACCAGAAGACGGCAAGAGAGCACGCAAGAAAGACAGACCAAATAAACCAGAAAGCGAGAAATAGTGAGAACTACCAAAAGAAACGGAAAGATCAGCAGATAGATAAATTAAAGAAGTCAAGAAAGACATAAAGAAAGAAAGCAAGAACGACAGAAAGAAGGACAAGCAAAGAAAACCAGAAAGCAAGAGGGAACAAAAGAAAGACTGGCAGAAAAACAGAAAAAGCACCTAGAAAGCGAGAAAGACGACAAAAAGATACCTGAGGGAAAAACCAGAAGCGAAAGAAAGACAGAAGAAAGACGGAACACAGCAAGGCAGAAATAAAGAACAAATGAAAGAACTAGACAAGCAAACGATAGAACATACATTAAAGAAATCAGGACATGCCCGGGCCGAACGATACAGGGAAAGAAGGAAAGAAGGAAGCCAGAAGGAACGAAACAGCGATAGCAAGAGAGAGCGTAAAGAGAAGGAAAGACAGAATAAGGAAGTACAGACAGGCAGGAAGAAAGAAACAAAGAGCAACACAACGACATAAAGAAAACAGGAAGGACATGAAGACTAGAAGAATCAGCAAAAAACACGCACTCCCCGCGCCAGGAAGTAAGGAAGGAAAGAGTGGAGGATAAATGTAGACACGTAGAAATGCATGAATGATTACATATGTACATCGCTGTATACATATACATTGCATATACATATTATATACACATACAGAGAGAGATTAGTGTGAACATGTTGTTTTTGTGTACGACGGATGGGAATGTGTGCTACAGTGTCCCGTCTTTCTTTTAGGTCTGGCGGAACCTGCTTTTTTTGTAAGTCGCCCTTCTGCTGTGTTTGCTTCCCCCAGTCGGGCATATGTAGTTGGACCACTCGTGTTGGGTTGCCGCGAGGTTTCCGGCATTTCAGGGCTGTTGCCAAGGTTTATGGACTCAGGGGGGGGGTTGGGGGGGGTTGGGGGGGGTTGGGGGTAGGAGGGGGTGGGGGTGGGGGGGCGGGATAAGAACATCATTCATATTGCATCCATGCCCAAAACACTGGTATTTACAGCGTTTTCGTCAGTGTGTACAACATACCGCGCGAGGTTGTGGAACAAGACACGTTGTCACAAGCATCCATGCGTTTTGCGACCATGCCCAAAACACTGGTACTTACGCCCAAAACACTGGTATTTACAGCATTTTTGCCACTTTGTACAACATATTGCACAAGGATGTGGAATAAGAAAAGCATTCACAAGCGTCCTTGCCTTTGGCGACCATGCCCAAAACACCGGCATTTACAGTGTTTTTGTTTCTCTACGGGCTGCGGACTTGACCTTTAAGGGTTTACACTCCGGCCTAACACACTCAATCTCAGAAACCGAAAGACAACGTAACAGTAAGAATTTAGAAGAAAGTGATGTAGATTTTTTGTACATCCTGAAGACGGATTATTGAGGAGTCGTGCCAAACCCAGGTAAAACGTACGGTTTCACACAACAAAACACCACGGCAACCCATCACCCGTGGTCCATGTAGTTTCGCTTCAGATGTTCTAGATACCTGCTTCAGATTACACATGTTGAGGCATGCTATACTAAGATTCTACTGCGTTGCGTCCTTCGTATGCTATGTATATATACACATGTATCTACATCGAGAATATTTATACAGCAAGCAATGTACCTGCGGACATCACACACGCATATATACAGACATCGCGCTTGCTTTTTTTTTTTTTCTCTCTCTCTCTCTGTTTTGTTGTTCTCTCTCTCTCTCTCTCGCTCGCTTTCTCTTTGCGCTGTACTCTGGCTTTCTGGGGTTGTTCTGCTGCAGACAGGAGGCCATCGAGGGGGCCTGGCCACCTTCTTGCGTGACCGATTACATCGAGAGCCTCCAGCAGGTGCGAGATGGGAAAGCTCATTCAATTTATATTTTCGGCACGAATGTATGGGCATTTCCGCATCCTGGGAGGAAGACATGGAACTCGAAAAGGCCCGGCGGCCAGTGTTTTCGGAGCACCCTCTCCCTTGGTGCCTGGTCTGAGGCTGAGGACCGATGGGTGGCAATGGCCCGGGAGCTTGAGGACGAGCGCATTGCCTCGGAATGGGCCAAGTGGGAGGCTTCGCTTGAGCACACGAAAATGCAGCTGAGTGCGGCTGAGCTTTTTTCTCCTCGTCAGGGTAAGGGCACGGGTTGCTTTGGCTGGCTGCGGACGCTGCTGCCCGCCTTCCCGCGGCCTGGCCTGCGACTCGGTTGGAGCTGCGAGCAGTGCTTCCGGCAGTGCTTCTGGAAGCGGTAGTGACAGGTCCGCAGCGCACATCACACGTGGCTTGCGGATTCCTCAACACGATGGAGGAGATCATGGAGGCCAATGGATGCTCAAGGTTTGGCAACTGCTGGGCTAGTACTGCTGCGTGCGTTTGCATGCTCCAGCCAGGCATACAAACGATTGAAACGCTTGCAGCAGCCAGAGATGGAGCTGCCTTCCTGCTCCGCAGCAGCCACCGGGATTGCCATTAGATTGGTGAGTTTTCTTGAGACATAGGAAGCGGCATGGTCAGCGTGCCCAAGTAGAATGAGGACACTGTTTGATTCTGTTGCGCGTGATCCATTCCGAAAGGTTCCGGCATCGCCGACGGTACTACGGGGCCCATATCAAGAAAGGCAATCTGCCCAGACGGTATGACATGACATGGGCGACATGAAGGTGCCCCGCCAGGCTCAAGAGCACTGAGGTATCGAATTTTGAGTCAGCATTGTTGCCTCAACAAAAAGCGCTACATTGCATTATCGCATTCCAGGGTACGTGTTGTTCATTCTTGAAAAGCGTGAGCGAAAGCGCTCATATTCGCGCTGGAATCCTGCCATGGAGGGGCTTTATACCCCTGGAGGACAGTACCCAGGCAAGACACAGTTTTCATTGCAGTGGGCCGTCCTGCGGAAAGGATGTTCGCGTCGTCAGGTGCACAGGTGGTGCTCCACATCCCAGTTGCAGCTCCGCAGCAGCCGGCAGCTCTGGCTGTTTGAATGCCGTTTCCAAGCTTCAGAAGCACGCCTGGGTGGCTGCTTCCCCTCTTGCAACTGTTGTTCGAGCCACAACTCGTGCATGCAGCTGAGCTTTAGGCAACGTGTGCAAACATTGAAGGTTCCGAGAAACTGCCAGGACGGACTGGCCACCGTGGTGGAGGAGTCTCCGCAGGCCAGAGGCGGCAGTTACAGCACAAATCCGGTTGGCTGCCCAACACATTGCTATTCCACATTCCACTTGGCCACATAGCCAAACTGCTGAGGCTACTGCTCAGGCAGAGAACAAATACCGAGTCAGGAACTACGCCCGAATCAGGAACTACGAATCAGGAACTTAAAGGACCGAATCAGAAACTAAAAGAACCGAATCGGAAACTTCCCAGTCCCCGAATCAAGAACTACGATGCCCGAATCAGAAACTACATTTTCCGAATCAGGGACTAGCTCACCGAATCAGAAACCAAAAGCCAACATGGGAGGAAACGGGCACCGGTCCCTTCTCAGCCGTTGCCGGCTTGACGGTTTAGGCTTGAGGGTTAGGATCATGTTAAAATTCCACCCCCCTCAAGCGCTTGCATGTGGGAAGTATACCACAGGGAAGGAGCATGTGTAAAATCCAGGGAAGGACCACGCTTAAAAATCCACCCCTCGGGCGGGTGCATGTGAGACGGCAGGGAAGGACCACGTGTAAAATCCACATCCTTAAAGCGGTTGCGTGTGGGTAGTTCGCGATAGGGAAGAAGCATGTGTATATTCCACCCCCTGGCAGCGGTTGCATGTGGGAAGTAGAGGACAGGGAAGAACCATGTATAGAATCCGCGGAAAGACCATGTGTATAATCAACCCGAACCCCCTCAAGCGGTTGCATGTGGGAAGTAGACGACAGGGAAGGACCGCGTGTAAAATCCACCCCCTTAAAGCGGTTGCATGTTGGTAGACGCGATACGGAAGAAGCATGTGTATAATCAACCGCTGCGACTACTTCTACTACAACTGCGAGCCGCTGCTACCACTTCTGGGCGCGGGGAGTTTGGTTACCGAGTCAGGCGCTTTAGTTCCTGATTCAGGCTTCTTGGTACCGATTCAACGTTGTTTGGTTACCGGCGCAGTGTTTTTAGTTGCCGATCCCGTCGTGGTTACCGATTTCGTGCCTTTAGTTACCGATTCAGGGGTAGTTACCGATTCAGGTTTTTTGGTTACCGATTCCGCGCTTTGGTTGCCGATTCAGGCAACAGGGTATTCTGTTTGGTTACCGATTTGGCCGCGTGCCAATATTAATTGCTTGTAGCGGGGCCGCGGCCCACAGACGCGACATACCCCGTTACAGAGGGTATGTATCAATGGTCGGGGTTTTGCGACAGACCTGTTTGTTGTTGTCTGCAGGTTCCAAGTTTTGCTTATCGGGGGGTAAGTGTTCGTAAGTTTCAAGGAGCAAATATAAGTATCCCTGAATTTGAAACCCCCTTGAACTCTTAAGGCTGAGTACGCGGAGTGGTTCCAAGTCTTGCTTATCGGGGGGTAAGTGTTCGTAAATTTCACCAAAAACATGACAATTTTTCTGCGGAATATGTGTCAGTAGAGCCGTGCTAACACAAAAAAGCATGACACATTTTTCGCGGAATATGTGTCACCAGAGTTCTGTTAGCACCATCAACATGACATTTTTTCCGCAGCACAAAAAACATGACACATTTTCCGCGGAATATGTGTCCGTAGAGCCGTGCTAACACAAAGAAGCATGACACATTTTCCGCGGAATATGTGTCACCAGAGCTCTGTTAGCACCAAAAACATGACATTTTCTCCGCAGAATACGTGTCAGTGGAGCTGTGCTAACACAAAAAACATGACACATTTTCCGCGGAATATGTGTCAGTAGAGCCGTGCTAACACAAAGAAGCATGACACATTTTCCGCGGAATATGTGTCACCAGAGATCTGTTAGCGCCAAAAACATAACAGTTCTTTTCGCGGAATATGTGTCAGTAGAGCCGTGCTTATAACACAAAAAAGCATGACACATTTTTCGCAGAATATGTGTCACCAGAGTTCTGTTAGCGCCAAAAACATGACATTTTTTCCGCAGAATATGTAACAAGCCGGGCGTTACAGAGGTCTGTAACAGGTGGGCGCGGGCGCGGGCCGCGACAACCAGGGGTTTAGGCACACGGCCATTTCGTGGCTGACCCTCAGGCAGAAACCATTCATTGACTGCCGACATGTCAAAATGACTGCAGCCTGCACATTGATTTTGTAGCAAAAATGAAGCTGGGTTGGAACATGCTGTAGGCCGGAACCTTTTCCTGGAGCGGGCGAGGGGCATATCTTATCTGGCAACCCTACACCGAGGGTTGGTGAGAAGCGAGCGTCCGTGGCTTCATGCCATCAAGAGGAATGGTTTCAGCACCGGTTTGCTAAGGCAAAAGGGTGTTTGCAAATTGCGGGGGCTGCCCACATCTGCCCACTTCGCTCCAAGCTCGTTGATCTCGCGCGTTGCGCCGCGAAAAAACACCACCGCACAAGTGCGTGCAGTTTAAAGAACACCACACCTAGCAAAAGGAGTTGATTCGACACCCATGTGATTCCTTTCCATGCAAACAAGTGTCGGCCTCCACAGCAAAACACACGTTCTTGCGCTCGGGACATTCCTTTGGCCGGGGAGTGGTATGCAGCAGGCCAAAGCTTGAACCCGTCTGGCAGTTTGCGTGCAGGGAGATTTGTTTTAGCTTGACTCAGCTACGGATACCTGTGTGCAGTTAAGCTGCAGGCTGTCACCGGCGAAAGCCCGCAGCAAGCCTATAGCAGTTCTCCCTCCGAGTGGCGTGCGGCTTGCACATGTCGAGGTCGCCGCAGGCGGCCTCGAGTCCGGGATCGTCGTTGGCTGTCAGAGCCCAAGGGCCCCACGTGCCAATTGTGGTCATCACTGAATTTCACATGGCGAAGCCCAAGGCTGGTGCTAGCCCTGCAGCTTGTGCGCAGGCGCCTGGAACGGATTCCCACGTTGCGGATTCAGTAATTGCAGCCGGTACAGCAAACATGACGCACATGACAAATGAACAGATTGAGGGGAGACTAGCATTTCATGGAGGCTAAAAAGGTGATGCAGGAGGGTCGCCCTGGGGACCAGTGATGGATTGACTCCTTCGAAGAGTGCAAGCACCTTGCGCAATTTCGACATGGTTCTTCTGACATGCATGCACCTCAATACCTTCCATCGAGCAAAGCATGGTGAAGAAGAATGTCATGTCTTCAGGATAAAGCATCATTAGCTGGCTTTGGTTCAGGATTCCGAGTGCTCGGCCAAAGAGGAGTCTGTTCGCACGCGCGAGGCAACCTGGATTTCATGATCCATTTCTTCTTGTTCCGTGCAGTTACTGGTAGAGCTGTCGACCCCCTGCCGAGTACGCTTGTGCACTCACTTGAATGATGTCTTGGGTTAAGCAAGGCAGTTTTTGGACAGGGCACACTTTGCCTTTATACATCCGCAGGGTGGCCTTGACGAGGACGCTGAATCCGCGGCAGTCTGCCAAGAAACAGATGCGCCCAGACTGCATGGCACTGCATGGCAGGCTTGTGCGAAGTTTTAGATTGCAATTCCTGCCTGTAGCCTTGTTCTAAGGCCGCAGGCCTCAATCTTGCTCTGGATGGTCTGGCTTCGCAAACAAGGGTGGCTTGTGATGTTGTGTCCATATTTGAGATATTTTGGTTTTGATTCCCACGGTATCCTCATGTGCACCTTTCAGGCGGATGTTCGGGAAGGACGGACAAGACGGGCCGCTAAGCCCACTGCCTCACAGACATGTTTTGCGCTCCTACGTCCCGGCTTGTCTTGCGTCCTCTCTGGATGCATAGTTCGTTGAGAGGGATTGCCAGGATTGTGGGTGCTTCGACTTCCTGTCACTGGCCAACAGTTGGAACCCAATTGAAGTTGGTCAGTCCTATCCAGTTCACTTCCGCACACAGTGGCTTCGAGCATGGCTCCGGATGTGAGGCTTCCATCTCCGCTGAACGGTTAGGACCTGAGCGAGCTTGCGCTTTTCCGGTGAAGTGGGAGTCAGCGCCTTGGGTTACGAGTCTATGGTTCGCAGGGTTTTGGATGTGTACGTTTGCCAGTCATAGCCGGGTCATAGCACGAAGAGACGTCTGCTGCGTGCCGTGTGCACAGAGTTGTTTTCCAGGCCTTCATGCGATGCCTCCGAATTTACTGACGTCCCGGCCGCAGATGCGAATATGTGGGCAATGGGCATGAGACCTTTCCAGATCCCGTTGGCATCCTGCTTAGGAGTGCGTTGGTGGCACTCGACTGCACTATCCAGGCGCCCCGAATCCTTTGCCTCCATTTCCAACGAGTTTTTAGGCCTTGCGGCTAGGGACGGCCCCGCCGCAACCACCACCACCACCAAGAGCACCACCACCACCACCACCATCACCACCAACAACAACATCATCAACAACAAGACCAACATGAACGAAATTAACGACAATAACAATAGCAAGAAGAGTAACAAGAACAACAGTAACAATGCAAACAACAACAGCAACAACAACGACATCAACAAGAAGACGAGCGATAACAATAAGAACAACAAGAACAATCATTTACTTCGAACATCCCCACCTTGATCCTCGTTAAAAAAAAGAACGCAAATAAGATGCTCAAACAAAGACACATTGTTGCAACTGGGGTTGGGCAATCCAGGGACACTCTGGGGTTGGGCGCTCCAGGGACACTCTGGCGTTGGGCACTCCAGCAATGCGGAGGAGGAGAGGAGGAGGAGGAGGCGGGGGGAGGAGGGGTGACGGCGGCAAAGGTGCTGAGGACGGTGAGGGCGGTAAGGGCAGCGAGGGCGGTGAAGGCGCGGCGAGGCCGGTGTTGCGAGAGCGGTGAGGGGGGGGGGCACTAGCGCCGGCCCTAAGGGCGTCGGCGGATAACTTGGACTGGGCTCTGGACTCAGCCGCTTTCGGCGGCTTCAAAGACTCAGGTTTCAAGGCGACGGTGCGTGGGTTCAAGTCGACGTCTCGAATCTAGACACAAATTGAATTCTTGCGCCGAATAGGATGCATAGCACGAGCTGCAGAAGAACAGCCCGGCCCTGAGGAAATCCAATGCATTGACTGTTGAGAAGCCCTGCGAGCTTGTGTTTTTGTCAACCCCCTGCTGGGTGGTTGCGAGGATTCTAGTCCCAGCAGGCCAATTTAGAAGAGCAAATGAACCTTTGCAGGCCCCAGTTGATGTCGTTTTCGTAAATTTTGCGTCAATTTATGGTCCTGTAGCTGCCCTTTTCCTGCGAAAATTGGATGGATTCTGCTGTTGCCTTTGGTTCTGGACCTCCATCCCCTGCACCACAGCCCCAACTCCCACACAGTCAAGACGTAGAGGCCGAGGCCCTACCGAGAGCCCGTGTTCTTTCTGCACCCTTTGCACCCAGTTGGATCACAGTAGAAGTTGGGTTCATCGATAATGTTGATGCGGGCCGTTACGTGAAATCTCACCCAGATATTGCTGTCATCATGACTGGAAGTTTCAAAGCAGTGGGCGGTCAATGAGGTTGATTATGATGTGTAAGTTTTGATGCCTTACATCGAGCGAAGCGGTCGCCGAGGGTGTGTTGAGAGGTGGGCTGAGGAGCGCACTTGTCACAACGCTCCCTTCCCCTATCTCCCCCTTGCCTGTCTTCCACCTGCTTGCAAACTTGCATGCTTTCCGCCAAAGCGGCATCTGGTCAATCTGACTTGTATGTGGACATACAACAATGCCTTGAGGAGGCGGTCCAAGACCGCTTCATGGTCCAGAATAGTGTTCGAATCCTGCTGGAGCAAGTGGCCAAGCAGCAATGCTTTGGTGCTACTCTTCACTCACAAAATCATCTAGTCAATCCGACGGAGGATTTCCAATCACCAGGGTGTCACGGACTCGACGGGGGGAACGCACTGCATGAAAAAGGTGCAGTGCTGCATTTCAGTCCTGAACCACGTGCCATCCTTGTCAAGACTGGAACGTGCGCACAGATTCAAGTTCGGCGCTGGGGCCCCACAGGCCCGGGTCCGGACCCGACACCACGACCCAGCATTTAAATGGCCGAGATCTGCATCAGTTGAACGGTCCCCTTCATGTCTGTCGATGCAGTATCGATTCTTTGCAGGGTCAGAGCTGCATTCCATTCCTTGAATGAATGCCGTGATTTTCTTGGAGAAGCAAGAACTATATCGAGTCTCTGCTGTGTGGGGGTCGAAATTGGCTGCCAAATCTGGGACAAAGTGCTGGCGCTTATTTCATCTTTTGCAAACATGCACTGCTTGAGTTTGTCGAAACATGAAAACGAATCAAGTCTCATTGTTAGTGTTTCTTAGCATCTGCCCCCAACAGAACGGTTTATTCTTCGGTTGCTTGCAGAGGTCAGGGTTTAGATGGTTAGTGTCAGGTTGCAACACAAGTCCACCGACTTGGTGTCCCGTGCACTTCGAGTTTCTGTCGGCTACCGTGCAAATTGCAACGCGGCGTAGCGCAACTTGTGCAACATTGCCGCATATCAGCCAAAACAGCTGGAGATGATGCAGCCTTCGCTTATGTGTTGCTCGAAGAAGGAGGTGCCAGCCTTTATCAGTGCAAACCTTTGAGCCACGTAGGAGCACGTAGTTCTTGCGTGTGCAAATGGAGCTTCGCTGAGACCACGGGACAGTCCTCCTATGTGTCAGCACTTTTTGAAACTAACAAGGTTTGACCATTCCCACATCCTATTGAAGGCATTATAATCCGACTCAGACTGCAACAAGCACTCGTGTTTTTAGTACACATGTGTTGTGTCTTTGTGAGACTTGGGGCCCACTCCTTCATGAATTGTTGAGATGGCTTGCCACATGTTTTCCTTCATTGCGTTCGTTTGCGACCGGCACTGTGACAAGCTGTAGCAGCCCTCAGTTCACATCAACTTGTTTCACACAGCTGTGGTTGTGCTTGCAACGGGGTCTTCGGCAGAGCATTCCTAGGGCAGCAAACCAAGACATTGTTCGAGCCGCTGAGGAAGTGCCGTGCCATGTCGTGAGCTGCCTGTTTCCAGTTGAGAAGTAGGTGGTTTATCAACAAGAGGTTCCCCGTCGTTGGCATCCGAGGGCTCCTGCCAGGTGTTTGTGTGATGTATACGCATCCTTCACGCATTCGTGAATGGTCACCTCGTTGCCAGCGTAGAGTCAAAGCCCCCATTCAGGCCTTATAGCTTCAGGTTTGAAGTGACGGGGTACCTTGTGATAAACGCCCAGCTGCGGTCGAAGCTGGCCGTTGTCAAACGGTGTTGGAGAGATCTGTGTTGTAGATCACTGATCACGGCAACAAACTACTTTTGCAGAAGACGCGCGGATGGAAAAACGTGCGAGTGCACATGCGCAGTCGGCGCATGCGATCTAGGGAGCACATTGCAGAACAGGCACAGGACAGTTCGGGCAGTGAGATAGCCGGATCTTTTTGACTTACCAACGCATCTACCAGCAAATCATGGTGACGCTCCCGTCCCCCGCATAGAGCTTAAACCCTCGGCTTAGACAAATCCTGAACCTGAAACCCTCCGGGCAAACTAAACAGTAAACCCACGGCGCAGATGCTGGATGCATGTGGTGATGGATTAAGCTCCGTCTACGCAGACGCGCGACATGTATGACATGTCGAACCCCACCCAGGACTTGATTTTCCGTAGGGTACACCATGCCCTAGGTGATGCAAGCTCATGCTGCGGGACAACAACTGCATCCATGGGTGCTTGATCGACGGTGCTCAAACGCAGGCAGCAGATTAGCGTCTTGCTCAGCTTCAGCTGCCATTGTCGAGCACTCCCTTGCGTTCAATCGCTCTGCTTCGCAGCATTGCATCCTTTGCAGCTGTAAGCAATCACCCCCAAGCGTTGGAACTCAGTTTGTGTGTGTGTGTGTGTGTGTGTGTTTGGCTGCGGGATGCCGGAGTTTGAGGTGTTAGCTGAACTTAAACGCTTATTTTTCAGTGTGGGGTGGGGTATATTTACGCCTGAAGCTGCTAAAGCAGTCAGTGAGCCTACTCTACATGGATGGTCTCAAGATTTAGGGGTTTCCAACCGTTACAAGTTGGTAGCTCGAATTTGTCTGAAAGCATGAACCGTTCACCTTTCTGTTCACCATCTCCTTCAAAGACCACGCCCAAGCTTCGAATCCCTGAAATGTCGAGTGCAACCCAAGCCCAGTCACCAAAGCAAGAATCCTCAAAGTCCTTTTGGCCTTGCTCGCAGGCGCCATCCGCCTCACCGTGACTCTGATCGGAAACATCCATGACCCTGAGTGATTGTAGAACCTTGACCACAATGGCGGCGTTTTCGAGGAACTATCGAGGAACTCACCGGTGCAGTGCTGTTCGGCCCATGGTCGACAGCTGATCTGGTAGCTTCGGACACAGCAAGCAATCTTGGGCTCAAAAAAATGCACCTGGGTAAGGCAGACTCACGGTACAGTAACTTTGAAGGCTGCCAATAGCAATGTTCTTGTCACGTGTTTGATTCGCTTGAGATCCAAAACCAGGTTGTGAGCGCGGGAATCGGGATGGTGGGGGGCAGGGGCAGGCAGGGCATCAGCGACCTTCCTGGGATTTAGAAGATTAAAATGCAAAGTAAATGGTACGAACATTCTGCGAAAATCTTGATGAGCAAAGCAAAACGCTTTTCATGATTGAGGGTCCCTCCAACAATGGGCTTGATCCTGAATAGGCCCGAAAACTGGGCTTTATGCTCTTGGCATCCCTCGACATGTGTTTCATCAGAACTTCGCATGTGCGGGCTGTGCGGTCCAAAGCATGATCCGATGCACTTTGTAATCCTTCTTTAACCCCCCCGTCCTCGCAGTACCCGGTCATGCCCTTCGGGCCATAAGCAGTTCTAGATGAGTGTTAGTTTGCGCAGTGTGCACGAACCGAACAAACTGTTCCCAAGAGCCAGGGGTGGCGTGAGGTGGATATCTTATCCGCACGCGCCCTGCTCTATCAGTCGTCGGAGCGT